TGGCAAGTGGGTGGTGGCCAAAAATCAATGTGTGAAACGTGCTAATTGCGGCAGCTGTGCAAATGTGAGCCTGGCCATTTGATAGTTGACCATCATTTTGATGGCCCACAAGGCGAAGTCTAAGAAGTGTAGGAAATGGGCAGTGCGGATATCTCTAATGTGTGTGCGGTCAGAGGGAGAAAAAAAAAAAACTAATTGCCACAAAGTGAGTGAAGGAGAAAGTTTTTCATAAATGGCTGCTCGTCTTGGCTTTCATCTCGAACTTCCCTTTTGGCCAAAGTGAATGTGTGTAAGGAGTCGTAAAAAATGGCAGTGTTACTGCCGTGGCACGTAATGAGATACTTCAAAATGATGTTATTGCTTTATTCATAGAGCTGCATAAAAAGTCCAGAAAAAATTGGGAACTTGAAGCTAAGATGTGGGAGAACATAGGTTTTTGTTCGCCTTGCTTCATTATATTTTTTATGCCCACGTGAATGGCCTGTAGTTGGGTTTTTTGGTCCACAAAATACCTCCTTTCACTCTTTTACAGTCGCTCTTGTTTGTTAAACTTCATGTGTCTCACAAGATAACGCACTGAGAAAAAAGTGTTAGTGCTAAATCAATACAAATTAAACTTATAATACAAAAGCTTATTAGGAATCGGTAGCTCAAAATTCAAAAAAATTACAGAAATTTGAAACCACTAAAGTGGTGATCAGAGAGTTCAAACCATATTTTTATTTATAATTTTAATGCTTGTTTATTATATGTCATAACTGAAAAATGCTTCATATTCATAAAAGAAAAATCATAAATTTATAAGATTTGCTTGCAATTATATATAATCTTTTTTGTTTTCTTGTAATTTAAATATTGTTTCTATCTGTACAAAGAAACAAGAACACATGGAAAAACAAAACAACCTATCCATTGTGATGGATGCATAAATGTTATCTGTTGGCAAATAAAAGCTGCAGCCGTGCGATATCGCTGCCTCTGTCTCTTTACCTAACTCTATCTCTTTCCTTTTTTCTATATTCCTCTCTCTTTATCGGTCTATCCCTTTCTTGCTGCCTGCTGCTTTATGATTGCCTAAGATTGGCTAATAACTTTCATGGAACTCCTTGAACTTGAGTAATTTCGCTGGCTTTTAACGTTGTTCTCAGACTGACATTGTTTAGATAAAAATAATTTTCATTCATAAATTTATTCATGGCCTTCTGTTTGATTAAAGGTCTAGAACCGGAAAGAAAAGAAAAAATAAAACAAGGATAACGAAGAAGGAGCGAGCAAAATATATTCTACTAGATGATTATAGATGAGGTCATGTCGCCAACTGAACAAGCGAACAAAAACGCTTTTTTGTAAAGCTAAATTTTAATTGAAAGCTAATACCATAAAGAGAAGTATCTAAATCCTCAGCCGGCTCTCTAGTTCCCCATCAACTTCAGCTGCTGACTCATGAAAAATTAACACACAAATCGCATGAGGCAGACATTTAAAATGCACTTTGTTGCAGCTGCATTGCATAAAATTATTGCAGAAACAAAAATGGTCAGCGATAAGAACAGCAAAACCAACAGCGACTGGGAAATGAAATTACAAGTTGTAAAATAGGTAAAGACTTTGTGGATACCTCAAAATAAATACCTCTTTAAATCTTGTAAGATATGACAATCAATGGATTAAGATCTATAAAATCATTTAATGTAAGAACTGATATACTTTTAATTTACATATATATTTTTTTGGAATTTATGCTTCTTAAAATCTCTTTAAAATCAATGTATTCTTTATAATTGTTTTTAATATTATCCAATATTATTTTTTATTTTTTTTTAGCAAGCTGGTCATGCTCCTTGTTCCAATAGGTATTGGTATAATGCTTTTTCCTTGACTTGCAGCCGAATCCTTTAAAGTGCATCAATTTTAATGCAAATATGCAGCAGGCAGCATTAACTTTTGCTGCGCTCTTAAAAATTTACATAATTGCTGAAAGTCAGGCGAGAGGCGCCTTTTCCGACCCCATTTTTTCACCACCACACCCCCGTAAATGCCCGCATGTGTGCAATGGGTGGAAAGCGGGTGGAAAGCGGGGGAAAACTTTAATGAAAAACGTCCAGCACTTTGCACAATTAACGATTTTTCATGATTTCCCCCCCAACAGCCGCTCTGCCCACAGGCAATTTGCATAAATCAGTGCAAAGTATCTGTGACACATGGAGAGCACGCCTCGTAGGTGGTAGGTGGTAGCTTTTGGCCTGGTCAACTGGGAGGCGGTGGGTGGTGGGCGGTGGGAGGGGCGCCTCTGAAAAATGTTTACACATTTGCAAATGTCTGAAGGTCAGGGGTGAAGTGGGGGGGCGGACCAACGGGCTGTGCAACATGATTTAGGCGTTTGCCCGCTGAGTAATTGTTGTGCGGCGGTTCCGTGGCTCACCGGCGCAGCTTTAATTTAATTTATGCACCACTACGGCGGAGGCAGCAACAACAACAACAGCGGCGGAAGGAGGCGCCTCCTCCGCCTCCTTGTCGAGAGCCACTAAGTGGCCGCTTCAGCGAAATTAAATGCACTTTCCCCGGTTGTTGTCCTCGTCATCACAGTTGTTGCAAGCGATGGCCACGGGGTATCGCAGGGTATGCTGGATCTTATCAATACTTATTGATACTAACTGAAATTTATTATCCAGAAGAAAGCATCTTTATTGCTCTTGTTCCAAATTTATACTCATTTTATTTCTTAAAATGCAATGCACGACTTATTTCTGTAGGGCTGTCGTAAAAATATGTTCACCAAACAAAAAATTGTCAGAGAAAAGACACTATTAATATAAGAGTTCTATTCTTCTTTCAAAAGTTTTATAATAAAACTTAAGGTTTTTAAATAACACCACAGAACCAAATTAAACTACAAAGTAAAGGCTCTATTTTATTTGTTAGTGAATAAATACTCATACCGTTAAACATTTTTTATTGATTTTTAGATGAGGGGAATAAATGGTATAAATGATTAAAGCCGTAAAATTTATTAACTTGATATTTCGAATTAAAAAGGAAACCATATCGCGCTTCCAAGAAATTTATAATTATCATTTAATATGCAATGTCTACGTATATTTTAAGTTGCTTAACTTGTTTATGAACTCGATGAACTCAACAATAGAACTCTTTACTATCAAAAAGAAATAACCTTTAGTATTCAAACGTTGCAATAACCCATGCCACAGTACCCACTGGCTATAATCAATCCCTTTCTGTCACTATTTCCCATGGCTGTGCTTCAATTATATTACTAGCCATCAAATGGTCGATTCTCGGCCATTAGAATATAATTTAATTTGCTCTTATTTACGCTGGCTGCAGCTTGCAGCTGCCACTGAACTGAATTTATTATTATGGCCGCACAATGTGTTTAGTTTTATGGCCCAAGACGTGAAGTGTTTTTAAGGAGCGCCGAGAATGCTGCATTCCCCGGACTTATTTAATGCGTAATTACAGCGCAAATCTTGTTAAGCAGCCCAAGAAGCTGGGAAAGGATGGATGGCGGAAAAGCGGAAAAGCGAAGATAGTTGGCCCAGAGCATTCTCGAAAAGGCAACACTTTTCCGAGAGTCAAAGGAGCAATGCTGAGAGGCAGCTTAGTGTTTGCTTCATTGAATTCATAAGCGTCTCGAAAAGTAAATCCTAGTGAACTTTAGCGCAAATCCTTCGCCCGGATAGTGGAAAAAAAGTGCAGTTAGAAAAAATCCCTTACATAAAAAGCTATGGGGTAAACCGAGGATTTTTCCAGCTCCTCCCTCCTCCCTCCTCCACCATGTTGAGTTTTTCCAACCTCCAAAGAGGACAGCGGGTCGTCAAAAGTCAATTAACTGCAACACTTGCAACACAACTTCAACTAATTAGCGTGATGCTGCCCCAGGTGAAGAGTTGAATGAGAAGAGGGTATACATATACATATATACATACCCCCAGGGACCCACAAACCACACAAAAATGTGTAGCACGCTTTTGGGCTTGTGGTAAATAAGAATGCACTTAACGTCGGGTTTTAGATGGGGATGCATATGCATGGAGTGCGGAAAATAGGGGGATGGGTCCTTTTGGGGGCGGAAATATCTGGCTTTTACAAGGTGGAAAGTGTGTCATGGTGGGGAGTTTATTCTGGGTTAGTTGGATAAAGAATGGTTAGAGAATCACGAGAAAAGTCCAATTACGCACAATAAAATAATTTAAAATGCTTAAAAGATTTATGAAATGATAAAAAATATCACTTACATTTGATATTCGAATAAATTGAATATTTCGATATAAAAATTAGCTATTCTTTTTTAAATTCATAACAAAAAGTCTATAAATAACTCTTTTATTACAACTTCTGATACAACATTTAACGTAAAGAGAGAGCAATAATTATTTTCAATATTAGTTTGGTTTTATATATATATTTTTTTCATATCCATTCTTTTCCTTATCACTATGACGTTTTGGCTCTCGAAATATTGACGTTATAAATTACGTCAATAAATAGTGTCAAAGTGATATGAAAATTATTAAACAAACATGTGTGCAGTGCTTGAATTAATCAGAGAACATATGATATTAATTTGTAGCTATCATGATTTATTATAATGCTATCAAAATCGTTATCACTGAAGCTAGTGAAGTATTAGTCGCAGATAAGAGTGTTAAATTAGGCTGTGGATTTCCCACTGCGGTGCAACTATCTTTTTGCTAAATATAGTTTTTCTTTCAAGTTAAAGCTATAAATAAGTTGGTTTCTTCAACTCTTTCACTCTTTTGGATCTCTAGAGAGTTATACCTATATCATTGAGTTTCTCTGTCCTACTTTCTCACTTTATTTTTCAACGTTTCTGAGGCCAATCATCATCATCTGCGTTTAATTATTGTGTCGCTTGTTCGAAGGCAGCTCCTTATCTTATCCACTCCCTTGGAGACATTCGCAACAAGATGTGCTATCGGGTATCGAATGATGATAACCACCTGTGGAAACGGGGCCAAGCCTCGGATGCATCTCCATTTCGACTTCGATTCCCGTTTCGAGTAGATGTGGCGCAAGTTTCCACCTGAATGAAGCTGCCACCGAAGGTAGAAAACGCGTGGAAGCGTTTCTTGGCCATAATGTCGCTGCCGGATTTGCTAGGTCAGTTTGCTATTGGTTCTATTTATTTGTTCTCTTATTCTTCATTTGATTATACCACTTTCCAGTCCTTGCCTGTTTGTGGGCCAGTGGTTTCTCCCTGGGTTATTATGCCAAGTCGGCTTATGTGTACGACAACCTCTGGCCCCATTGGTACGCACTGGTGGGCGGGGTCATGGCCTTGGCTCTGACCTTGGGTTGGACCCTCAGAAAGCACAAGAAGCAGCAATACAGCTACGATCACTACTATATCATGTTCTACGGACTGCTGTGCTCGCTGATGGGAAGCTGCTTCATGCTGACTAAGCAGTTGGGTGAGTAATAAATGGAATTCCTGCACTGATTAAATAAGTTCGTTGTCCAGGAGTTTATGACTGTGTAGAAAACCGCCTTTAAAAACCAGAAAAACGTCTGCAAACGAAAAACAGAGATTATTAAATTTTAATTGATTGCTCTATCTTGATTTTTGTATTTGGTTTTTAAATTAAATAAAATTGAATCCTAATTTCAGAGGCGAAATATAATATTTTTTATGAAAACGAATTTGCTTAGTCAAATAACACACATATTTATATTGAACAAATTTGTTGTTGTGATTTTCCTATTTTAAAAGCAAACTTAAAACTGTTAAATATCATAAATATAAATATTTGTTTCTGTAGAAATTTAAAAATACCTGTTGAAAAGCTGAAAGCTTACAATATAAATGTACTTAATTATAGACCACAGTTCTATGGCAATGAATCTTAAAACACTTGTTTAACTTCCCAGTAATAAAGTAAATATGGTCTGAAATTGCATTATAATGAAACCCCTTTAAAGTTTAAACACATGTTTTATTTTAACCACCAGCTGTTAGCTATTACTTCATCTTCGTGGGATTGAGTGTGCAGTACTTGGCCGGATTCAGTTACGTGAGCCTCCGTTGCGATGCCTCGGGATCAAGGCCTTCCAGGATTGCCCTGGCCAACTCATTATATGCCGGAGGAATGACCACAGGATTTGTGATTTTCAACGAGATGGAACCGCAACGTTGTGGATTGATTGCCCTGGGAATCAACCTGCTTTTACTCTGCCTCGTCTGCCTCAACGAGTTGCTGCACCATATACATTGCATTAACTACAAGGAATCAAGGGATTTGGTGTTTAATCTACTGAACGAAGAGAAGATGGTCTTCCTGCCGCGTCAGGCGATTCTGGCCCAGTTTGTGGGCAGGACGGATTACCAGCTGAAGGATAGCAGGCAGTGGTTGGTGCTGATCCTGGGAGGATCCCTGGTGTACCTGCAAAAGAGCTGCCTGCTCTTCTCACCCACATACATGCAACTGATGTGGAGCAGCACAGTGGGTTTTCTGCAGAGAACGCAGCTGTATATCCCCTTTGTTCTGTACTCGGGTGGCACCACTTTTGGAGCCCTGCTACTGATGAGATACACCCCCAAACTGGTTTACCTACTCTTCGGACTCATCCAGATGACCTTGATAGTGGCATTGCTGTGCATCTACAGTGATGAGCAGACGGAGCATTGTTTTCTGTTCCTCTGCCTCATATATATCACCATGGGCGTGCTTTCCAGTCAGGGAATCCACTGGCTACTGGAGTGCTCACCCTTTCTGTACACCGAGATGTCCTTGGCCACTGGATTCATCCTGCAACTGGCCGTTCTGGAGAGCTGCAAATACGAGTCCTACGCCACGGACAACTGGATAGCCCTGCTCAGTGCCAGTGTGGTGGCACTAGTGCTCACGGCACTTGCCATCCCGGTTGTCCAGTGGCTCCAGCCGCACTCCGCCAGTCTGGTGGACGTTCGCAATCGCCTGCTGGGCATCCGAAGGCAATCCCTGCCCCCGGAACAGACCCAATTCTGGCACACCAATCACTTTCTGGCCCACAACAAGCCCGCCAACCAGCTGGAATCCGTCCAGCTGGGCAGGAGCAGGGTGTTCCAGCAATATCCCATCAGCGGGAGCGACCTCACCGACAACCCCAAAAACGACAAGTTCTGATAATAAAGTGCCGCACTTTAAACTCCCACTTGCTTGTGTTTTATTTATCCCAATCATTACTCAATCTCAGTGGCATTGTAAATGGGTTTTCTGTGTTATTTATCTTTATCATCGATAAACACACTGGCGTCGGTAAATACTTTTGGAGAACAAAAAAAAAAGAAAAGAAATATATATATTTTGAAGATAGAAATATTATATTAAAATTTTGAATTGAAAAATAATCTTTTAAAATGTTTTTTATTTTGTACATTTAAAAAGTTGTAAACTTGTTAAAATAATTTAATAATATGGTCTTGTTTTAATAAGCTTATAAGCATTTAAATTATTTATCCCAAATCGACTCCGAATTGTTTTTAAACAGATGCTATTAATTATTCTCTCTGTGCAAATTTCTTTAAAGCATTTGGTCTTTGGTATTTCAAACAAAACCCACAAAATAAAACAAATACACTTTAATTCCTTTGAAAACTAATTACACCACATGCCTTTCTTAATTATTTCCATAAAAAATGTAAAAGCTGCAGCTGCTAAGAAATCCGATGCCTTGTAATAACCCTTTCCCAGTCTCCATTAATTATTTATGACCAGCATTATGATTCCACAACTCAAAAGAAATTAAATCTCTCTGGAAGAAAAACTTCCAAATACCACAATGTCCTGCAGGGCAACGTTAATGATTTTTATTGATTTTTAAGCAAATTAAATTGTGCGTTAACCGCAAACTGAATTTATCATAAAGTCGCTTTATCAGTCGAGTTCTTCTGCCTTCGCTTCTTTAGCCAACATTTTTATTGCCAAAACATTAAACATTTATATCCGCTATCAATTTCGTAACGACGGGAAGGGCATAATCGCATCTCTGCTGTTCGTGGGTGAAATTTTCCGGTTCTACCTAATTTAATTTACGTAGAGAACCGGAGAGCCCAAAAACCGGAGCAGCCGCAGCGTGCAATGGCAATAAAAGCGTTAAATTTGTTTATTTTTTCAAGCCTCGCAGGTCCGCAGGGAATCCTGCCCCGCAGGACTTCCCCTTTACAGAGCCTTCCATTGGGTTTTCGGTTCGATTTCAGTGTTTTTCCATCCGCTCTCCTGTTTAGAGTGTGGCATATACCTTCCTGCCCCTTCTGTAAATCCTCCCACACGGACACCCACATATATATACGGCATATAGCCTCTGCTCCCGGCGCTCCACATTCCTTTGTTTTTGCCTTACCATTGTTTTTAAGTGGATGCCGGCACATCCTTTGTTTCTGCATCGGGAGGGACGAAATGGGAGCCACCGGCAGTTCCGATCCCCTTATCACTAATGAAGTGGCCAATGAACTGTAGCCCAAAAGATTAAAGCGAAATTAAATGGCTAACCGAAAATTGATTGATCGAAAAAGGTGCGCAACCCAAATAAGAACACCAAGCCGACATGAAAAAATAAATGAGAAAAATTATTTAAACCGATTTAGGTTGCGGTTGTAGCAGCTCAATATGTTGTGCGGTCAGGGGTAAAGTGGAGATAAAAAGGTGTACGCATTTCACCACACATGCGAAAATAACTACATTTTAAATGGTTTATAAACATTTTAAATATAGTACTTCAACGTACGTGGTTTTATAGAATATTGGTGCATATTCCCTGTTAGTGTAAATTACTTATAAAGGCGCCCAAAAAAGGACACCTAAAACCACTCCTATGTATTATAATATTGGTGGGGATCCAAAATTGAAATTTTAGAGAATTAATATACTATCTTTAAGCCTATTTTAAAGTGTCTTAACTCTTAAGACTTGCGATTTGATTCTCTAAAAATCTGCATTAAAATTTTTCAATTTAACGTTGATCAAAATTTTGTAACATTTTCATATTAGCTATTTCAACGATTATGACAGCATGTAAAAAGGTCACCCACAACTGGACTTCCGGAGTCCATAACTTTACCAAATTTTATTCGATTTGAAAGTGGCATACCTCTAAAGACTGGTGATTAGATTCTCAAAAAGACTGCATTCAAATTTTTCATTTTAACGTTGATCCAATTTTTGACCCATTTTCATGTCATTTATTTCCAAGTTTCCGATAAGTTGCTGGAAGGTGACCCACAACTGGACTTCCGGAGTCCATAACTTCACCAAATTTTATTCGATTTGAAAGTGGCATATCTCTTTAGACTCGTAATTTGATTCTCAAAAGAACTGCATTCAAAAATTTAATTTTAACGTTGACGCAATTTTTGACCCATTTTCATGTCATTTATTTCCATGTTTCCGATAAGTTGCTGAAAGGTGACCCACAACTGGACTTCCAGAATCCATAACTTCACCAAATTTTATTCGATTTGAAAGTGGCATATCTCTATAGACTCGTAATTGGATTCTCAAAAAATCTGCATTCAAATTTTTCATTTTAACGTTGATCCAATTTTTGACCCATTTTCATGTCATTTATTTTCAAGTTTCCGATAAGTTGCTGAAAGGTGAATTCCAGAATCCATAACTTCACCAAATTTTATTCGATTTGGAAGTGGCATATCTCTTTAGACTCGTAATTTGACTCTCAAAAAAACTGCATTCAAAATGTTCACTTTAACGTTGACCCAATTTTTGACTCATTTTCATGTCATTTATTTCCAAGTTTTCGATAAGTTGCTGACAGGTGACCCATAACTGGACTTCCGGAGTCCATAACTTTACCAAATTTTATTCGATTTGAAAGTGGCATATCTCTTTAGACTCGTAATTTGATTCTCAAAAAAACTGCATTCAAAATTTTCACTTTAACGTTGACCCAATTTTTGACTCATTTTCATGTCATTTATTTCTAAGTTTCCGATAAGTTGCTGATGGGTGACAACTGGACTTCCAGAGTCCATAACTTTATCAAATTTCATCAGATTTCGAAGCATGCATGGCATACCTCTAAAGACTTGTGATTTGGTTCTCTGATAAATTTTTGGAACCATTTTCATGTAGCTTATTTTTAAGGTCCCGATAACTTTTACGCTATGCATCGAAATCAAAGTACAGAATATTTAATTTTTTTAAGAGCTGCCATTGTATAAAAACTTCTCCTGGCCGATGTTCTCTTTCTTTCTTGTTTAAGGCTTACATAATGAACTGTAATCTAATTACGTATCCACTTTATCAGGATTACACCATGTTAAAAAAAAGTCGAAATGTGAAATGTAAGTATATACCAACTTTTAACACCTCCCAAAATTGTTCTTGTAAATAAAAAACAGTTATTAATTTATAAACTAATGTTTATTTAAATTTACGGCATTATTGATTCTATGTAATTTTATTAATTTTAAGAACATACAAATTATCTTTAACTTAGGATTGCTTTTTAATAAGAAGTTTAAATGATTCTTTGTGTAAAAGAACCCATAAGTAATGGTATACAATTTTCTAATTTGTCTAAAAATTTAAAGCTTTAAAGAAACATCACATGGTATTAGTGAAATCAATATTTATCTTTAGAATTGAAAACTTTCTCCTCGCGCTGCTGACTGAACGTTAGAGATGTTGGCAGCAGCTAGAGGTTACTTTTTCTCTTCCTTCGCTTGACATTTTCTGAGTCCTCCACGGCCAACTTAAATTCCTTGACCACCTCGGGAAGTGTTTCATCTGTTTCGTCCACCGTCCAAGTTTCCAAATGCGGCGGTCGGTGGTGCAATATGAACGGATTGATGATGGCGGCCACTCCGTGGGCATTGTTCAGGTGGACGTGGTGGGTGCCCTGCACCTCGTGGAGTTCAAAGTGAGGGTTGTTCTCCCGCAGAATGCCAATGACCTCGTCGCTCTGCTCGTCTATAAAGTTGGACTCGGAGCCCTTGATCACGCAGTAGGGCACATTCCGTATGGTCCTCGCCAATTCAGCGGCAAAAGGAGGACTCGTGTGGAACTCTGTGTAGTATTTGCAACGGCCATCGCGCGAAAAGAAGAACTTGGCCGGAAACTTGGTGGATCGGCTGATGTTGCGTTCCAGGATGTGACGACAGTTCTCCAGCTCCACCGAGTACTCCGAGCCCTTGTTAAGGACCTGCTCGAGTTCGGAGTAGGTATATGCCGGAGGCTCCTGTCGCTTGGCATTCGCGAATCGCTCGTCCTCCACCATATATCCCTCTATATTATTCCGCAGGTAGTCGATCTGCGAGGCGGGCTTCCTATAGCGGGTCTTCACTATATCTATACTGACCAGCAGGTCGGTGCGGTGAGGATATAGCGAGGCGAACACGAAGCACAACATGGCGCTCATCGAGTGAGCCATTAAGGACACCTTCTGCCATCCGTACTCCTCCATTATGCGCAGGATCACGCACAGGTAGTCCACAAAATGGTAGGCGATCCCCTCCGGCAGCTTCGAGGAGTACCCGTGTCCGGGCAGGTCGATGCACAGCACTCCCAGGTGCTTCGGCAATAGTGGCAGCAATTTGTCCCACGTGCCCAGGTTGTCCAGCCATCCATGAAGCGCCAGGATGGGTCGCACCTGCCGGTTGCCGTACCACCTGCCCACCACGTAGCCCCACGGCATGTCGATGCGCACATCCATGGGCTCCTGAAATGCACAGAGAGGATTTTTTAAATCAATATATTACAATTAGCTCTATTAAATTACCTCTTCTTATTAAAAATAAACTACTAACCGAAACATGTACAAATTTAAATTTATTTAGAATTCATATAAGATATTCTTAACAATGGAATTTAGTCAATATTTACAAAAAATAATATAACTATACAACTTCTAAAACACATTCTTGAATACAATATTTTTTATTCATCATTACAACTACCAATAAGTTTTTATTCGTATCACATTAATATTTGAAAATTATTATTAACTTTCCAATATTCAACGGAACATGTATATTTTTCTTAGTGTAGAAAAATAACGAGAAAGCGTTGCAGGAATGTGAAAAAGTTGGTTTCTAGGGAAGGGCGCAAAGGAGCGAGGGTTTGTCCTGCTTGTTAGCTGTTAATTGCCAGTGGGTAACTTTCTAGCTGCTTTCGGCCTGCTGTCAACCAAGTTGGCTTAGTTGGGTTTTCGGGTTAGCGGAGGCTGGACATTCGCCATGGCATTTCCCAATGTCCATTTTGGGCACTTCCAATGCGTTTACGATACCCTAAGCTCAATGCGGAACTTTCAACGTGTGAAATGGTTGAAACATACTTAAATATGAAAATCTGTGAATTTTAAATTCAATTGATAATTTTAATAAACAAAATAAGTGACACGAAAAACTAAGCAATTCAGAAAAATTTGATATAAATGTAGCAAGATAAGAAAGTCCTTTGCAAATGCAATGCAAAGTGCATCCTTCAGTTTGCATTGGAGACCCGTGTCACATGACCATATCATTTATCTCCGCCGATGCGTCCTGGTGCGTGTTACCCCATCCTCGAACGATTTGATCAATTGGTTCTGGCGAAAAAGTTGAAGTGGTTGACAACTGAGCGAGTTTTTCGGGCCGGGACCAGGTGTCAATTGATGGACAGGAGGCCCCGCAGTGCCACAAGCTGCCCGGGCAACAATTTATCATCTAGTTTTTTCCTTTGTTTCGGCTCCAATCGATAAGCGATTGTGTATCCTCTGCAATTGACTGATGCTGCACATGCAAACTCCCAAAAGTTCCAACAAATGGATTTTCGTAGTTTGCCACCGCAGGAAAAACTTTGCCAACTCTCGGTTTACTACAGTCGCTCAACTTGAAAATTAGCGCCGAGCACTATCGAGTGTAACGACACTTTTTGGATGAACGGATTTATAAAGGGGGAGGCGGAGATAGAATGGAAAACTTTTACAACACCCTGCCGACAGTTTGATGAACTCCTAATGAGCTCGATAATCGAAGAATACCAAATTTAAACCCATTAGAGCACAGTGAAAAAAAAAATGGTTTTGGTATCTGCAGTTTTCAATTTAAAGTCAATTTTTATGTGTTTGTGGAAGGGATACAAATTTCTATAGCCAATCTTACCACCATTAAATATATATTAAATATATTAATCGGTCGGATGGCAAACCAAACTCAACAGCAACATTGTATTACAAAATTGTATTAAGAAGCAATTGTATTAAAAAACCATCAGCTTCAAAATTTATTTTTTTGTTAACACAATTTTTCACTTTGATTAAATTCAATTTAATGAGTTTATGAGTTTTTTTATGTTTCTCAAATAGTTTAAATCATCACAATAAAATATATAAAGTTACTGTCAAAACACTTTTAACTTGAATACATATTTACATGATAAGATCCATATATTCACAACACGAGGCCACTATCAACACTATTTTTCTGGGGAATTTTGATTGGTTTATGCCAAAGTTTTTGTTACCAAAACCACTTAACTAACTCAGCATTTCACCGGTAGCTGATGGCTCCAAGTAGGCATTGACTTTGATTCCGCAATTACGGGAATCTTATCAGTTCGAAGAGTCCAACGCGATAAGAATGCAATTCCGTTCAAAGGTAAAAAAAATACAAAGGCAAAGGGGCATCAAAAACCCGTTTAATCGGTAGATTTTCATGTGAACCCATTTTAGCCCGATAACGGGGTCGTATAATGTCTAATAACTGTTTATGGTAGACATCCCCCCTCCCCCACCGAATATGTTGACTCCATATAATTACCTGTTCATGTTGTTCGATGTGCTCGCCTTCAGATGTCGATGTCATTTTCGTCGGCTATTTGTCCGTAGTAAATGACACTATCTAACAACTAAATCCGACACACACGTGTCGGAAAATATATGTGGAGGTGTTTAGGAAAACTTTTCTATTTTTATATAAAATAACTAAATTAGTAAAATACTAGAGAGAACAACCGAAGAGAAGTGCCCGCCAGCAGGGCGTAAACAAAACTAAATCGTGTTTCGCCAGAGAAGCCGATTAAATCCTAAGCGAGACTGAACTTTAATCAGCGGGTGTTACAAAACCAACAAAATTGGGAGAGGGTATAAAGTTAAGAGAATTAATTCACTGGCAATAAAGAGCCTATATAGACGATATATTCTACAGAGAGCGAACTTAAACAGATCGAGGGAGAGCTTTTTGGGGTTGACTTTATGCTTAGTCATATTTTGGTTGCGATATAGAAAGAGAGTGGGTGAGAGGAAAACAGCTTTTTAGTGTTCCGATAGCATGTGTTAATAAAAAGAATAACCCTTTTAAACAAACAAAAAAAACTTTCGGGTCAAAGGTAAAAAACTCAATTCACTTGAATTTTATTTTAATTTCAATCAATACTTAAAAATACTTTATTTCGCACTTATTTAATTGAGAAAACATTTTCTGACCCAAATAGATAGGAAATATCCCATTAACATATATTAAAAGGAAAAGTAAATTTAACAATTACCTTTAAATATTTAATTATTTAATTTATATTTTAAGCGCACTTATCCTGTCAGTAAATTTTGAAGATATTCATATGCACTATAAAACTTTTTATAAAAAAAAACCCAATCTCTGAATGACACCCCAATTAAATCAAATTATTGCATTTCAAACCAACATATGTTAATGGAAAACATTGAAATTACAATGCTCCTATCACGGTGACAACACAAAATAATGTATTCAACCATACAAAATCGCATATTTACCCAGATAAATATAAATATTTATAGATTTCATTCCCCAAAAGTGACCATCAAATAATTGATGCATGCATGGCAAACCTCATAATACCAAACCAGAAAATAAAATACACTTTAGAATATTGCATTTTGATAAAACTCCAAAGATATGTAGCTAGAAAAAATGTTACATTTTTATGTTTTGTTATTAATTTTTATGAGACTTGCAAAAACAATCACATTTTGCTATAAAATGGAAATGAATTCGTTTTGTGTGTTCTTTATATCATTTTTTATGCAGCCTGCAATCGGTTCAAAAATTAATAAACGAGCAAATCAATAAATATTTATTTAGCTCTCATGGGAAACAGATAAAAAATGGCACTGGGTCAACAGACAGAACATATTCAAAAAACCATCGGCCGCTTTCGACAACAGCTTACACAATAAATGTGTTTAGTTTTTCGCTAAATGGAAACCATTTGAAAAATCCTATTGCAGTCGCCTGGGGCTGTGGTCCAAATCATAAATCTTCATGGAGTGCAAATTGAATGTGTTTCTGCGAGGGGCCAGTGGACGGCATTTTCACCCAACGCCATAAATAACGAATTGAAATCATAAATCTGGCGGTGAAAAGTGCGCAGAAGTTTTTTTTAATTTCCAATGCAATTAAAATGGCCAGGATTAAAAGGCCAGGATTGAGGATCCAGGATCAGAGGCCAGTTAAAATGGTCAAGAAAGGAAAAGCCGCAGCGGCATTTAATCAAATGCATCTGGTGCTGGCCAAGTGGCGGAATCCCGAATCCTGTTAGCACCTTTTCGACCTGTTCGGCATTTCGTTGCTGGCAGCGAAATTAAATTACGCTGCTTGCTGGCTGGGTTGTAGTTCACCTGCCTCCCCATTCCGCCCCCCTCAGTGTGCCACTAATGACATTCAAATGACATTGCCGGATACAGCCGCCCAGTCAACCGAACTTGGCTAATGACTGGTCGATATGGTAGACGTATTGTGACATGACCACATGTACATGTGGTTTCGAAATTAAACTAAATCCAAAGCCTGACAAGTTTAACAAGAAAATATAAATGGTATTTTGGATGGAATTTAAGCTAAGTATTTATAAAATTTTAAGGTATCCAATCCCCAAGAAACATCTTTAAGAGGTTATCTTTAAAAAAAAAGAGTTACCAAAAATGTTTCAACCTTATAACATTTAACTTCAGATATAGACATTAATAGGTTCGCTAATGTTTTTATTATTATACGTATTTATTTTCTCCTAATTTATTGCTGTGAGTCTTCAAATTTTCAACTTTTATATTTACATATTTTTACAATCTGATTAGTTCAAATTAAATCCCCAATAAAACTATAAAATGGATTCGTAATGTCATTACTGTTTGTATGAATAATTTCTTCTAAATTGGTATTTGTTTTTTTTTTATAGAATCAAAATGAAATATTTTTTCTGCACAAATTAAAATATTCCTGATTTATGTAAATAAACTGTCCAGTTATAATGAAATCCCAAATCAGGTCGTCTTCGGCTGAGCGGAATGAAAGGTGCGGTGACAGCGTTCGTTACAGAATCATTTGCACGCCTCGCTTGGCCACAGATTTCCACTTGGTATTTTCTGGATTCATGCCAAAGTAAAGGCGTTGACGCGCTGCCTGCCACGCCCATTAGCGACGTGTTTCGCCCTAATATTGTTGCTAGGTGCAAAATGCAAAGTAATGGCTCTGAATATGCCTGCCAAGGAGGCCAACGAAGCAGGCAAAGGTATCCTGTCGAAATGGGATATACCCTTTAATTGGATTGGCTATTTACTGAATATGTAAATGTACCTACTGCAGACTTACCTGCCTTTAGTTACTAGTTAGATCTATAGAATATCTCCTCAATTAGTGCAGATTTAATCCTACTAATTGGCTGTAAATAGAGAATATAAACGTCGTTCACTGGCAGCTCATCTGCCATCCTGCTTTCTGAGCTCCTGTTTTCTGGTCTGGCCTTTTGTCTGGCACTCAAGTGAAAAGCTTTTGTCGGCGCATGGAAATTTGACGGAAATTGTTTGGTCTGATGGATGCAGATGCAGATTCACCTCGTTCCGTCCCTCGTCCTCCGACTCCTGATCCTGATCCTGATGCTGCTCCTTCTGCTAGTTTTGTTGCTGTGTACCTTTGGCTAATGGTCTCATTTCTCCCCACTCCTCCCCGTTGGTTGTGTCAATCCTTCAGCTAAGTAAGCAGACAGTTTTTAGCATTATGGTCAGTTGAAAGGCCATAAACTAGCCTGTTCTGCAGAGTGTTGTCTAACCGAATGAAAATGCCAGTTTCAATAGAATTTAAACTTGATTCTTGCCGTCGAGAAGGAAGCAAGGATTACGTCAAGCGAAATAAATGCAAATCGCATTAGAATAAATTTGGCTGGCAGCGTGAATGCGACTGCAGCATAATGTCCTTAAATTGGCCATCCAGACGAGGCTCCTCGAGCAGCAAACTTTGGCGACAGGTAGCAGAGATAGTGAAAGAAAAATGTAACACTTAGGAAAATCTCTTAAAAATAGCATTCTTCCCTTTAAGAAACTTTAAATTAAAATTCATTTTTTAAAGGTTTTAAATAATACTTTATACACACACTTTTAATATTACTTTAAATATTTCGTTTTCAAATTGCTAGTTCCTACGGCTTAAATGGTAAGTATGTTGTACCTCCCAGTTCTTCAAAATCTTCCTTTATTTTAAATGTCCAAATGCTTTTGAATTGGCTACTTTAATATCATTAATTTGTTTTAGTGTAAAAACTCCGCGACTAGCATCATTAGGTTGAAAGGGCAGGAACCTCGCCGTTGATGCCCCAACACAATCAAAAGCAAGTTGAACTTTTTAATGCATAATTTATTGTGGACTGACTTGGCCCCGGTTAACTGAGAAACTGAGAAACAGCCAAAGGGCACAGGTTGAAGCCACAGTTTTTATACCCTTGCAGAGGGTATTATAATTTTGGTCAAAAGTGTGCAACGCAGTGAAGGAGACATCTCCGACCCTATAAAGTATATATATTCTTGATCAGGATCACCTCCTGAGTTGATATAGCCATGTCCGTCTGTCCGTCTGTCCGTCTGTCTGTCCGTCTGTCTGTTTCTACGCGAACTAGTCTCTCAGTTTTAAAGCTATCGAATTGAAACTTTGCACACACCCTTCTTTCCTTTGCACGCAGTATATAAGTCGGAACGGCCGGGATCGGCCGACTATATCCTATAGCTGCCATATAACTGATTGATCGGAAATGCTATAACTTTGGTGTTTGTAAAGTTAGGAAGCTGGGATTTTCTATGGGTTTTATATTTGGTTATTCAATCCGACCTACCAAATTTCATAAGGATCGGCCGACTATATCCTATAGCTGCCATTTAACTGAACGATTGGAAATACCATAACTTTGGTGTTTGTAAGGTTAGGAAGCTGGGATTTTCTATGCGTGTTATATTTGGCCAATCAATCCGACCTACCAAACTTCATAAGGATCGGCCGACTATATCCTATAGCTGCCATATAACTGATTGATCGGAAATGCCATAACTTTGGTGTTTGTAAAGTTAGGAAGTTGGGACTTTTTATGAGTATTAAGAATGCATCATATAAATAATTTTGGAGAATATAATGTACATAATATTCTGCAAGGGTATATCAACTTCGGCTCCGCCCGAAGTTAGCTTTCCTTTCTTGTTGTTGATTTCATTTGGTATTTTTTATGCGCATCGCGAAAAATCATTTAGAACAATGGTCGGGATGCAGATCTGTGGCGCAACATAAATATTTATGAATCGTCTGGCCAGGCACGTTCCATGGCAGGCACCTCATGTAGAACACCGGCGAATGGCCAGCGATTTATTGGGCTCCTTCCGAACCAAGCTCATCTCCAATGCCAGCACATGCGCCACATATAAATATTGGGGCGAAATATTTATTTTCAATTGATTGCTGGTGTATTCCGGTGGCATAAGGAAAATGAATTATATGGCTAAATGCGGTAAAGATGAGGCGTTTGTAAATTTATGTTGGCTAATAAATAAAGCCTAAGATTTGTATATAAAATATGTAATAGTTTGGACTAATCTGAGGGATATATGAAAACGTATTCAACTTTAGCATAAACTGTGTTACAATGTTTACTTTAACGGTCAAGCAATTTAATTAAAAAAATTTGTAAAGATAGTTTCGTTAACCAAATCATATCGCCATCGTCTGCAACTGTCATACCACTTTGGTCTCCCTTCTGCAAAAACTTTTCAGATTTGTTTGCGTGTTGCGCTGGAGCAAAGTGAAATTGCAAAACCAAATCGCCCGATTCAAGTCACAACTATCAATTAAACTAATTAGGTTGATTTCCCAGCAGAGTTGCGCAACCGAGGGACACGCCCAAAACTTTCGCCTTGGCTTCGCCGGCTTCCTTTTTCGGTTGCGGCTACGATGGAAAATTCAATCAGCGCGTGCAGAAAAACGCAATCAAATGATTAAGTCAACAAATGAAGGCAAATTGCTGGGGCCGCGCAGCCGTTGCTGGACTTTTGGGATGCACTGTGTGAGCGGAAAAAACGAAGCCAGAAAGCAAAAAGTCGCCGCGGCCAATGAGGTTGTTTCCACCGAGGTCTTCCTTAAAACTTTGGCCAAACTTCTCCTCGGGGGATTCCCCTATCTTTTTCGTACTTTTTTTTGTGACAGAAACAAACCGCATTTTAAACAGGTGAAAAAGCGCAAAAAATAAAAGTTTTAGTTTTCCTAATGAGTGCGGTACTTGGGCTATTGATTAAATAGAGACGGCTGCCAGCTTTTTCGCCTGCATCCTTTTCCTGCTGGCCAACATATTTTAGCCATCTTTATGTCCTTGCCTGCTTTCTGGTCCACATTCAAATTCAATTGACTGGGCGTGGCACGTGCTATCTAGTACATACTATATATCTATACCTACGAGTGAGTGTGTGGCCGCCTCCTTCGAGCATATTTATTCCCCTTTTTTGGTGCGATTGCCTGGCAGGAAATTTATTTATATTCAATTTGCGAATTTATGCCACTTTTTTTGCCGAGGAAGACGGCGACAATGCCGGGGGAAATTCAGTTTGCCGCTGATGCATCAATGGGCCAGAATGCAGGCAATGTGAGGAGTGCACTAGACGAAAATGTTGCCGGGATTCGGGAGTTGGGATTCAGGAAAGCACTCGATGGGCTTAAGCCAAGCTCAGCTCATAAGTGCTCTTGAGCAGAAGATTATTGAAAAATAAAATAAATGTGATAGGGCTAGAGTGATGCTTATATAATATTCAAAGACGGAAAGATGAATAGTAATTCACTTTTGAAATAATCCAGTTGAAGGGTTTAATGTAGAACTTATTGGCTTGGTTTTTAAAATGATGCTGTCTTAAAAAGAATTATTATTCATGCCAATAAAAAACAAGAAAGGAAAGCTAACTTCGGACGGAGCCGAAGTTGATATACCCTTGCAGAATATTCTGTAAATTATATTCTTCAAAATTATTCATATGATGTATTCTTAATACTCATAAAATGTCCCAACTTCCTAACTTTAAAAACACCAAAGTTATGGCATTTCCAATCGTTCAGTAATATGGCAGCTATAGGATATAGTCGGCCGATCCTTATGAAATTTGGTAGGTCGGATTGATTGGCCAAATATAAAACCTGTAGAAAGTCTTAACTTTCTAACTTAACAAACACCAAAGTTATGGCATTTCCAATCGTTCAGTTATATGGCAGCTATAGGATATAGTCGGCCGATCCTTATGAAATTTGGTAGGTCGGATTGATTGGCCAAATATAAAACCCATAGAAAATCCCAACTTTCTAACATTACAAACACCAAAGTTATGGCATTTCCGATCAATCAGTTATATGGCGGCTATAGGATATAGTCGTCCGATCCTTATGAAATTTGGTAGGTCGGATTAATTGGCCAAACATAAAACTTATAGAAAATCCCAACTTCCTAACTTTAAAAACACCAACGTTATGGCTTTTCCGATCGTTCAGTTATATGGCAGCTATATGATATAGTCGCCCGATCCGGCTCGTTCCGACTTATATACTACCTGCAATAGAAAGACAACTTTTGGGAAAGTTTCAAGCAGATAGCTTTAAAACTGAGGGACTAGTTTGCGTAGAAACGGACGGACGGACGGACAGACGGACGGACAGACGGACAGACGGACAGACGGACAGACGGACAGACGGACATGGCTATATCAACTCAGGAGGTGATCCTGATCAAGAATATATATACTTTATAGGGTCGGAAATGTCTCCTTCACTGCGTTGCAAACTTTTGACTGAAATTATAATACCCTCTGCAAGGGTATAAAAAGGAAAAGCATAAATAAACTTATTGAAATGCCATAGGAATACTTTTGTTGGCTGATTTATAAACTTAATACAATTTGAAGAAATTATTAAAGGAAATTAAAATTTGTTTTTTTCACGACCAATAAGAACACTATATATTGTCCTATAATAATTTATAAAATATACAAAAACTTATGGAACTTAAAATTAAATACAATTCTAATTCTAGGATTTTAAAGAGCTCAGTCAAGATATTTCCAAAAATGTACTTTATGATTTTGGGACTCCATTTTGGCTCAACATTTCTCCCTGTGCCTGAGAAAACCTTTGTTGGCAACTTGCTGAGACTTGCCGTTCTGTGGAAGGAAACTTAATGCTGTATTTACGGCCACTGATGCATTTACTACTGCAGATAGACCGTCTGTTGCTGCTGCCTGTCGATAAGGTCGATTTCGAGTGGGTACATTTTCCGCAAAATCATAAACACATTTGGCCGCTGCTCTCGTTCCGGCTGATTACCTAATCTGAAGGACTAGGTTTGCATACTGGGTACCATTACCTGGTAACTCCCAGAGGTACAGTCTTAACCCAAGGAAAACCAGCGGTACCTAGGGATCTACCTACCTATATTGCTTAGGTAGAGGATACATTTGTATATATAGTCTTAAATGGACAAATATCCTTCATTCCGTCGATGTCCTTCCACAGCGATAGTCAGCCCTAAATCGAAGTCCGGTGAGAGCGTGTGAGTTGTTTGTGTCTGTGATAGTTAGACCCAGTGCCAAGTGCTCAGGATGTTATTCCTAGCGCCGCGCAAACATCTGTTTGCCACCAACCTAATCCTCCTGCTGATCATCTACGTGATGCGCAAGTGCCTCCAGCTCTTCTGCATCATCGAGAACCGAGCCGTCCACTCGGAGGAGGACGAGAAGGACCAGTTGCCGGCCAGGGAGATCATCCACAGGCGTCGTGGCGGCTTCAAAATCATCCCGGCTGCCATCCACGAGAGTATGCACGGCTTTGGTTATGGTGAGGGTCACTACCAGATCTTCGTGGAGAAGAAGGAGCGCAACCTGCCCACCAAATCACGCCTCAACGCGGCCACAGCCGAAGTCAAGCTGAATCCCAATTAGTTGGTCTTTTGCGACCAAAAGAAAACACTGACATCTCAGCATGTCAAAGACAATGAGCCAATTGAGCCAGCAAAAAAACCCCATTACCCCACATATCCCCATACATCCATGTCTTCTTCAATAGTCTTTAAATAATTATAAAATGCACTAAGCATATACTTATTTCTTTAAACACAACAAAGCGGATTCTTGGCCATTAATAAAAAACACAAAAAATAGTAGTCGATACTTTGGGGATTGAGTCTAAGATTTTGTACTTAGAATTCAAATGGGCTAGAAAATGGAAATTATATTTTTTCTAACCAATTGCCAACTATGTCTTGTTTTACCAAATTCAGTTGAGGTCGAACCGAGTAGCAAACTTATGAAAAATTGCTTTCCAAACTTTGAGAAATTTTAATCTGAAACTATTCCGAAATTTTATGAATCTTTGGGCCCCAAGCGTTTGTAAAACCAATCGAAGGACAAATCTTTTAAAATATATATCGGTTTTATTTTTAAATTTATCAAGTGCTAGTTGTTGAATTTATGAATTTTGAATTAAAATTATTCAAGTTATGCCTGTTTTCATAAATATTATTTCTAAACAAATCATAAACAATCTTCAATCAATTTATATTGACACCTACGTCAAATGCTTCTTTACGCATTTTTCGCCAAACAACAAAACATAAAAAAATATTTTCTTTATCGACGCTTTGATTGATTGTTCCAATGTTGTAGGCCGTGACCATATTGGATGATCTGCAACATTTCTGCTCAGTTAGATTTCGACTTGGACTTGGATTTCTCGGCAGGCTGAAACACGGATTTCATGGCACTTGAAAAATTATCTCCAGCGGAGGAGGCGGCACGCTGATCGCGTGGGTGTTGCAGCAACATTAAATGGCGCCAAATTTATCACAAAGTAGAAGGGCTCACTTGTGGCAGAGGAAATCAGGGAAGGATTGGGGAAGACAGAATGTGAAGATGGGCCTGGGTGCCAAAGCAGCGACAACAACAATGTCTGGCAATATGTTCAAGTAATTTGCAAATACTCTTGCCAAAAAATAACATGTATTGGGTACATTGCTTATTATATATTGAAATTAATTTGTTTGAAAATTTAAATTGCAATAAATACGATTTACCAACTCGGATATTTAAGCAATGCAATTAAATTGAATTGAATTTATTTTCATATTAAATATTTCCCACTCAATCTTTTAATTTTAGTGCCTATTAATTAATTTTAACAAAAAAATCATTTTGGGATTTTAATTGATTTTTATTTATCAAATATACAATGTCTACAAATTGTTTATAATTTATTCGTAATCATATAATAGTTTATTCCAAAAAAAAAACTATTTAATTTAATCAAGTTTGTCAATAGTGCTGTTAAAAAGTATTATTTAGTTAGAAGATTTGTATTACTATTTGTGCAGTATTAACTCAATCCATAAACTTATACAGGGCTTCTAATCCTTTTCCTTTGTTAGGGCATTTCCAGGTCGCAGTTAATGCTAGCCCACTTCCATTGTTCGGCATTGGCCAAGTTAACGAAGACGGGATGGCAGGAGCAGGACTCGACTGGAGCGCAGCAATTGTTAGCAAATCTATCATCATCCTCTGCTTAAGCACGTGTCTGTAATGCGTGTGTATGTGTGTGACTGTCTCTTTCTGCTTTATATCCCTGTCTCATTCTGCCGTTTATCCCTGTCTCGTTCCGCCCTTTATCCCTGTCTCTCTGGCTGCTAAGCTGGTAAAAGAAGACGAGGCAATGTGTGAGTGTGCAACATTCTCCGCATTGCATTATAAATGAAGGGAAATTTTTAGTAGTAAGCTGCATCATCAGCCCTCGAGCTGCATATAAATTACCCCGCCAAATAAAGCACCCCCACTCACAAACGTTTATTCCTTCATTATGGCTCGTGATTGTTATTGCTGTAATTCTAATTCCATAACTATGCGGCTGTCGGCATTATCCATACGCCATGTGGTATCGCACATACGCCCCGTGGAACGTGCGCCTGTCGCCAGCTGTTGATGTGTAAAAATAAAATGTCAGTCGGATAAGCGTCCACATCCTGGCCATAATGAGGTAGCTCCATCTAACCCATAGATACCGCTGGACTTTTCCTCTTACCACCCCCTCAACCCCCTGCATGCTCTAGTTTTTTTGTGCTTCTGCCCGCATAAAACGTTAAGCTCTCATGTAAATCATGTCGCTATTGTTACTCTCGTAGTTTTGTTCGCTGCTGGACTCATTATAATTAACAATTTATAAAGCGTTAATCCACACACACTTACACCAAAACTCTCGTCGGTTTAGAAACACAAAATTAGCTTTTATACACTAAAAATTTGTTCTTTCTTATAATCATATTATGTGCTAAAAGTGAGAGAATCATGAATTAGGACCAAAGGAAAGTCTTTCTAGACCATAAGATTATATTCAAACTCCGTTTTTAAAAACTAATTTTATAACTTAAATTTAGTTTCAATAACTATGAATAAATATTTATAAATAAATATATAAAATAATAATATTAAAATAATATTATATAATTTATAAATTATAACTTAGGGTATATAGATTCCTTGAGTATTTTTCGGAGTGTATAATATCCATTGACGGTAATTTGCCAAGGCAGCCAAAAGAGCATGTTCAGCAACAGCTCCAGCAAAATCCAGGCAAACAAACAAGTCAGGGGCATGGGTTCCAAGGGGGGTTGAGTGATGAGTGTGAGTAAGCAGCTTTCATTGCTGAAATCCCCTCGTTTCCTGCCCTCCATCCACGATCCCCCCCTTCCCCCTGCCGCCTTACTGCTCCACTGGCACGTCGCGCGCATTAAGAAGATGAGCTGCATTTTTCATGCATGTGAAGTTGAGATTGCAGCTGGTTCTCCTTGCTCCTCCTCGCCGCGAGATGCTCATTTCATTTTGGCCTGGCTTTTAGCTGCTCCTCGGCATCTCCCAATGCGGCTTCATCCGCATCCTTGCTGAGCTCCTTCGGCAACAGCCCCATCATCCCGCTCATCAGCGTCATTTGTATTAATTGCCCAAGCGTTTTGCTCTGCGCAATGATACCGAAAATGGGGGACTCTATTGTCGTCGCGCTTTCTGCAGTTTCCTTTGTTTTATTTCGGGCTTTCTTAAATGTATCCACGTGGCTGTTTGTTGGCTTTTCCAGAAATGAGATCTCTGACAAATTAAAATCGGAAGCATGACTTTTAATGGTCAAACGAAAACTATCAGAATATTTTGAAAGGCATTGTTTGTATTATTGATTTGTATATTTAAGCTTCAATTAAATATACATACAAGCAAACAAACATGCAATTAATTTTTAAGCTAAATTAAAATCACTTTTAATTTTCCAAACAACTTTAAACTCCCTTTAAAATTGCTGACCAGTTACTAGCATTTTTCCGCAGAGTTTACCAAACAAATTGCCAATTTGCCAGTCTGCCAACAGTTTGACAGCCACTGGCTCAATGCTAGTTAAGCCGCATCGACTTTTATGGACGCTCAATTAGTGGCTCAATCGGGGGAAAAGAGCGCGTTCGATTGAATTTTATTGAGTCTTTAATTGAAGCCATGCATGCTGGGATTGCACATGGCCAAACAATAGTAACAACGGCAGTGGAAATTCCACCGAATTCCTGCACACACATATTGCAAGATGGATAATTAGCAAACAAAACAGCGGATGGGGAAGTCATGTAAATGATTTTCAGAATGACAGAAAATTGCCTTCCTTCCTTTCCCATTCGACAAATGCTTGAGGCGCGAAAACAAAGGAAACCATTTGAAAACTGTTCAGTTCCGAATGAGGCAATTAAACGGCGCTAATGTAGCGACTGCCACAAAATTCGCATTGCATTTTAAATGCACAAATATCCGAATGCAATGCCAACTGCAAATGGCCAAATCAAAAAAAGAACCGGGAATAAACTTTAATCAAATTGCCAAACGAGGCGAGCGAAAGCAAAAACCCGGTAGCCGGGGCATAATAAATAAATAGTCGATTTTAAATCAACCAAATTGGAACAAAACAATATGCAAAAATGAAAAGTAAATTAAAATGAAATTCGATGAAATTACCAGTGCCAGTAAATAAAATATATATTGAACTGGGATGGAGTATATTGCTGAGGTAAAAATAAATGCTTTTGGACAAAAAATGGCTAAAACTAATTTAAAATTGATTGGTTTTTAGTATTATTTTTCTAAAGCCACATTAAGCTCAGTTTTGATTTCTAGTTTATTAATTTAATTTAAAGTTGGAGGGAGGCTATTATTTTGAACATGACTGTTAATATTTTAAGCGGCTTTCCAAGTCGACAAATGTGTGGCCACAAAAAGGCACACACAGAAACCAAGCCCCAATGGTTTGAGCTCATAAATAAAGTAATTAAATTAAATAAAATGCAAAAAACATCAGTCATTCGTCATCGTGTGTTAATAAAAGCTAAAAGAAATATGCCGTTATGCCCAATTAAATATTAAAAATCAATTAAATTTCACTTAAATTGAAAAGTATTTTAAAATGTGTTTCTTAAGTATTCAGCGAATTTATTTTGTCATTTGGCTTAGTTGACTGAATTGTCGTCTGAAAGGCGCCAAAGTCCAGCCACCATATACAAATGTATGGACATTGCGCATACGCCGTGTGGTCGGTAGCTGGAGGCCAAAACAGAAATGTTTATTACAGCCCACTCAATAAAGTATCGAAGGCCTATAAATTTCACTACCAATAATATGATCACATATAAACGCTAGACAGTGTGTTACAAAAGTATGCAAACATTACATTTGGGTTGATACTTTGTGAGCACTGTGGCTGCCAACTTTCGGCTGGCACTGTCATGTCCGCTTGGCTTGGTAACTTTCAATTCGTTTCGACTCGTTTCGCTGCATGCAAATGGAAGGACTAGGAATAGGAATAGGAATACGGTGAGTATTCGTTGTGACTGCGCTGACTTGGCTGGCTCCTACTGCCAAATGGGTCAAAGTGGCAGTCAGCCAGGCGGCCAAACCGTTTGCCAAACCCAATGCCATTACACACTTTGACACACATACTCGAACTACACTTTTAAAAAATTTTATTACGATTTTTAAGGTTTACCTTTTGGTTTATAAGCGATAATGAATTGAGTAATTTCTTCTGAAAGCGACTTATAAGTTTTATAGGAAGCCTTTTTTAAATAGTTTTATTGTTGATATGTTTTTAAGG